ATTTTCCAACTCCCCTAGAGTTAAACAGTTGAGTTTTACCGTTTTCGAATCCATTCTGCGTAATATCATTGGGCCTGCTGCACCCATGGTATGGCAGCAAAGTTACTTGATTATTACGCCGGAATGAGAGTATAGTTTCTAGCCATATCGGCCTAGAAAATCCCAACTTTTCATTTTCCGTCGGTCTTAGTACACGATGTAACTACAGAAGAGTAAAGATTTAAATAGGAAAAATATAGAAACACTTTGGTCATTTTTGAGCGAGATGCTAACGGTCTAATCAGATTCAATGATCTATGCTAAGCTAAGCTAAAAGTGCAACTGCCAGACCCGGAGATCGGCTGAATCGATTCGAAAAAGTGTCCATTTAAAGGGTTATAGTTCACCCAAAAATGAAAATTCTGTCATTAATTACTTTCCCTCGTGTTGTTCGAAACCCGTAAGACCTTCGTTTATCTTCGGAACATAATTTAAGATATTTTTGATGAAATCTGAGGGCTCTCTGACCCTCCCATAGACAGCAAGGTAACTACCACGTTCAAGGTCCAGAAAAGTACCAAGATGATCGACCAAGTAGTCCGTGTGACATCAGTGGTTCAAAACGACTTTATTCCACATTTTCGTCTCTACTGCGTCACTTTGGATGCGCGTTCACGACAGTATCATGACGCAAGCATGTGGCGGCATGGAATAAAGTCGTTATTTTTGTTTTCTTTGCGCAAAAAAAGTATTCTCATAGCTTCGTAACTTTACAGTTGAACCACTGATGTCACACGGACTACTTTGTCGATCATCTTGGTACTTTTCTGGACCTTGAACGTGGTAGTTACCTTGCTGTCTATGGGAGGGTCAGAGAGCCCTCAGATTTCATCAAAAATATCTCACATTTTTGGTTGAACTAACCCTTTAATGAAACCTATTTCTCCTTCACATGAAGCTCCTATTGAAATCTGATGCGATAAATGTGACCACACAGTTCTTGGCTGGGAAGTGAACCACATTTTATGACTTTTCAAGGGAAAAAAAGACAAACAATCCCCCTTAATAATGACACCCAAAAATACAGCTTGTCTCAGCAGAGTCAGACTGCAAGAGACCGCAAAAGTCAGTATTTAAACTCTTCTGTGACACATCAACTAAGTAAGGTTTTTAATTATCCGTCTCTGACAGCAGCAAAAATGAAAAAAAAAGCCTGTTCAAAGTAATTTGACTAGAAAACAGCTCTTTCAACAGACACTGTTCGAACAAAGCGAAAGAGGAGAAAACTCAAAATGAACACATTTGCTTTCATCTTTCATTCCTGTTTTTGGCTTTTTGGTTTTACTACTAAAACCTAACATGCAGCCATTCTGTGCATGTTAAGATTTGGAAGCAAAACCAAAGAGACAGCAAAAGGAATGACATCAGATTTTTATAAAGTAAACATAAGAATAACATTTATTTTGTTAGTAATATTTCAAGAGGAACACTTACTGGACTGAAGTAACTTGGGTTTACTTGATTATCCATATATCATTTAAAAACAAATGAAAATGTGAGTATCAAATATGATCCATAAGGCTTCTGAGAAGTGTTTATTTGTTCATTTCTCAATCATCATTGCATTGCATTGCACTATATGTTTTGTCCCCACAATAAAACTTACAGAGCTTTGACCATAAAACTAAATTAAATATCATCTTACTAAGACACATTATTGGGAGATTTATATGCATATATACAGATTTATATATAATAAAATATTTATATGCATTTTATTGCTATACTATTATGATTTTCATTACAGTACATTTAAATCTTTTTGCATCTTACTTTTTGGCCATATAAATATCAGCAACTGTACCAAATTGTGTATTTTTGTGTATTCTTCAGTTTGGGCCTCTGAATAAAACTGGTTTCTTTTGTAACTTTTGAAAATAATTGAAAACATCTGTTAATAATTGAAACATAATTGAGAAAACATTCCTCAGGATGCTGTTCCCAGATCAGTGCATCCCGTTAGTGATCACATGACCTGTAAAACAATGGTTAACCATAATAAAAGGAGCAAGATGAACCTGACGGCAGTTTTCTCTGTTGCTTCTGGGACGTCTGTAGAGGGAAGCTCATCTGCCAGGATCTCTTCTATTCTGCGTGGATCGTCTGGAATGTCCCTCTGAAATTTGACCTTCTCCTTCTTGCCCGTCCCAGCAGTGAGCGTGTTCCAGAGTGCACTCTGAGACTTTGAGCCTGGAAACAAGATGAATCAGACTCAAAGAAACATGTAAAGACTTTGATAAACAATAAACAACTACCATTCACTCTCAGAAAAACTGCTTGTCACTGGGGCAGTACCCTCAAAGGGATGCCCATCTTTACCCCTATAGTGTTCGTAATAGTACCATAAGAGTTCATATTACTACCTTAAGGGTACACATTACTACTCTAAGGTACTAATATGCATCCTTTAGAGGTAATGAAGGTACAAAGGAGTCGCTTTGAGGGTACTGCCCCAGTGACAAGCTGTTGTACCCCGAAAGGTACAATCTTTGTACATTTTTCTCTGGCAGTATGCTGCTGTCTAAAAGCAACACATTATGTCTTTGTGAACAACACATTATGTCTGAAAATTAAATTTTTATATATTAAGTTCTTCCCATGCCTTTTTTTCTTCAGTGTTCTGTTTCAAAATAACAGTAATGGCACCAGTAAACCAAAATTCTAAGACTAAAAAAGAACTGAAAGCCTCCACTACGGATCTTAATGGCTTAGTTGTTGATTCATAGTAAAGTATATTGATTTGTCCCCACCAATGCTGTGCACATCATTATCATTATCATCATGAGCTCATGTAATCATAATGTTGTCATTCAGATGCAATCTGTGTGTCATCTCTGAGTTTCTTTGGATCAAGTATTAAGCGCAAATGAACTTTTGAATATCTTGATAGATGCTGCCATCTAGTGTCATGCTCATGTCATGTTATGCCCATATAAAAGGTTAATAAGCCTGTTAAAAGAACATCAGCCATCTGACTGTGTAATAGCAATGGCTAATATCAGAGTGAAAAACTAGTCCCAGACCAAGGCCTCTATGACAAATTCATTGCTAGATTAATTGTGGCAATAATGTAAAATACTTAAGTTTTCACCATTTTAGTATCAATACTATTATAGTAGTATTTATTTTTAGTAGTATTTACATATATATTTGTTAATATTTTTTTAATTACACTCTAAAAAATGGTTAAAAAGGGACAAACCCAGCTATTGGGTTGTTTTGACCCAGCGGTTGGGTTTTCCAGTCATTTGCAGAGGTGGACAGTAGCGAAGTACATTTACTTGAGTACTGTACTTAAGTACACTTTTTGAGTATCTGTACTTTACTTGATTATTATTTTTTCTGGAAACTTGCTACTTCAACTTCACTACATTTGAAAGACACATATCGTACTTTTTACTCCGCTACATTTATATCAAGGTCCCCAAGTAGAAAGTCATTATGTAGCAGTTTTTCCAGTGTGTGCCGTGCATTTTTACTGCACAGCTAAAAGTGCTCTAAAAAGGCAAATAAGATAATAAAAGACAAAAAAGGCACATATTTATAGTGTGGTGTGATCATCTGTGTGTTCACCACATTGATTTTAAAGAGACAACTGTATGTGATGATGCCTTACGTAGGCCGAGCGCTACGATCAAACATCATAGAAGATAAATGATCGCCATACAGTAAATAAAAATGATCTACATGACAAAGAAAATGCATAGTTTTTATTCTGTGTGAACTCGCATGTGTATGTGTTAACTCATTAAAGCTCTTTGGAAAATTAAGCATGTTTTTACTATAGTAACTAGTTTAACTATGGTATTTGCGTAAAATCACAGAATCCACAAATTTACTATTCGCTCACTATAGTAACCATAATTATGCTATTTGTAGTAAAACTACAGTAACCACAAATTTAACTATTTCATTATAGTAACTATAGTTTAATATTTGTAGTTAAACTATGACAATACAAAAAATGGTAGGCTAATATATCCATCAAAAATGGCTGCTATTACCAAATATAAAAAAAACCTTACTACTCAGGCCTACTGGTAAATTGCTGCTAAAAACTGGTCAAGGAAGTATATAAACCTGAACATTATTTTATTGTCAAAACACTGCACATAAATACATATCTTTTTTTGCAAACAAATGAGCAAGGAATATCAGAAAGCTAAGTCCTGACTGTGGCAAAAGGTGGAGCTGGGGATGGAGGAGGGTAATTTGCTCCGAAGCAAGCTGAAAAGCTGCTGAATAATACTGAATACAGCTTATATAGGAATGCCGCGATAGGTGTCGTATTCCTATAGGTAGATGTGATCAGCTGAGAATCAGCTGATGCAAGCTTGACTCACGTGACCTGCCAGAACTAACGCTAAAGCTTAATTTTAATATTTGTAGTTAAACTATGACAATACAAAAAATGGTAAGCTAATATATCCATCAAAAATGGCTGCTATTACCAAATATTAAAAAAAACCTTACTACTCAGGCCTACTGGTAAATTGCTGCTAAAAACTGGTCAAGGAAGTATATAAACCTGAACATTATTTTATTGTCAAAACACTGCACATAAATACATATCTTTTTTTGCAAACAAATGATCAATAAGTAGGTTAAATTATCACACAGGTCAAAATGTTTTACTTCACTTTTTTGTACAACTTTGGAATCTAAACTGGGAATCGATAAGAATTGAAATAAATAAGCAGAATCAGAATCGGGATGGATAAAATTCGAACAATACCCAACCCTAGCCACATGTTGTGAAGTTTACTGATTTCTGAGCATTTTATGAACACTGATCAGTTGATGGCAAAATTCAAAAAAACGGTTCTTTGGCTCTTTTTTTGCAAACAAATGATCAATAAGTAGGTTAAATTATCACACAGGTCAAAATGTTTTACTTCACTTTTTTGTACAACTTTGGAATCTAAACTGGGAATCGATAAGAATTGAAATAAATAAGCAGAATCAGAATCGGGATGGATAAAATTCGAACAATACCCAACCCCTAGCCACATGTTGTGAAGTTTACTGATTTCTGAGCATTTTATGAACACTGATCAGTTGATGGCAAAATTTAAAAAAACGGTTCTTTCGCACAACGTGCACACCCATGGCCTTACTGAGAGAGTATGTTCCAGTTTTCTGAAAAGACTAAAGATTTGTTTTCTTTTCAATGTTTGCTTTGTTTGCCTAAAATGAACCATATCATAGCCTTCAACATCTCTTTGAAAAAGAAGTTTGTGACTTTTAAACAAATATTAAAATGAGTTCAATGTAGCTGTAAGAGTGTTAAATAAAAAATAAAGATGATTATCTTCATTCAGTTGTTCCATTTCTATAGGTTTGGTAACATAAAAGCTCTTAATTCCAAAGATAATACAAGCTAATCAGTGTATTCAGTAGGTTGCATTATTGGCATAAAATATTATATACATAGTATACAACAATGTGACAATAAAACAATGCATTTACTTTTTAAGTAGTTTTAAAAGCATGTACTTTCATACTTTTGCTTAAGTAAAAACATGTCTTTACAACTTTCACTTGTAAGGCAAGGCAAGTTTATTTATATAGCACATTTCATACACAATGGTAATTCGGGCGCCATAATAACTAAAAGCGGACTCCCCTTGTTTTGTGTGAACCCTTGGTATTTCTAACTGACTCGATCGTAATGATCTGAGTGGTCTGTTAGGTTTATATTCAGTGAACATATCTGCTATGTATTTAGGTCCTAGGCCATTGAGTGATTTATAAACGAGTAAAAGTACTTTAAAATCAATCCTAAATATAACTGGAAGCCAGTGTAAGGACCTGAGGACTGGTGTGATATGCTCAGATTTTCTGGTAGAATTCTGGCAGCAGCGTTCTGTTGTAGTAGAGTAGTATTTGACCAGTAGTATCTGTACTTTCACTCAAGTAATGAAGTTGAGTACTTTATCCGCCTCTGGTCATTTGTGATTACTGAACAATGGTTTTTAGAAATGGGATTTTTAATACTGGTTTTAGACATTTCACAGCATTTTTATAGGCTTAGAAATCACTTTTAACTTTCCCTGACTGTGCAAAGCCTTTGCTAGACATGCTGTGAGTGTTATTGTTTCTGCAGCACTTTGTAGGATTAAAGCATCTGCTATGAATAAATAGAATTACAAATCTGCTACTTCATTTCAGCCCTTCCCTTTCGTATATGAAACAAGATGTAGATTTACGCAAAAAATAAAATGTAGCTAGGGCTCTGCAAATTTGTTGCTTTCTCAAAAACACATACTTACGTGCAAATCTCGCCAGTGGTCTGCTGTTGGTCTCACCATCCTCATTAGCCACTACAGAGAAAAACAGAGAGACAGAGTTATATGGTGGCATTTCTCTCTCTGGGTGTGTGTGTGTCTCTAAAAACATAAAATAGCTTATTCTGAATGCTTTTTTCAGAGGCTTAGTAAAATACATCATTAAAAAGCTTTTTTTTTTGCACCTATTAATGTGTCTTTTTGTATAATGTGAATATAATGAACCGAGCTGCTGGAAAAGCGTGAAATGCTGCTTTAATATGACTTCAGCTGCTGTTATATGAGCCTTTCATTAGGATTTGAAATGGGTCTTGGTCAGTAGGGGACTGGAGGGGTGTTGTTAGTGTACTGTGAGTCACTTCTAGTAAAAAATATCACAAGAACAAGCACAAAAAGGGCAGAGAAAATGAGCACGCTTCCCAAGAAAGTCTTTTGTGATGCAGAGATATGGCAAACAGACTTAATTTCTATATCATTTCTATTGACAGACTACATTTTCTGACAGCACCATGATACTAGGCTGTTGTGGGTGTCTTTTGCACGTTGCTATGCGGTTGCTAGGGTGTTCTGGGAGGATACTTGGTGATTTCAGGTCAAAGGAGCCTCTCTTTGATCTTTTTTGGACTCTAGATGTGACTCTGGTCTCTTCTTCCATGTCAGCCTAAGATAATTTTTGCCGTTGTTTTATCATCCACAAGATTAAAATCATAAACCCAACCAAACCATACAATTTGATTTCTATCATTCATGGATTGAACTGTGTGGGATGAGTTGCAAGGCAAAGTTGAACACTTCGGGTCATTAAATACAGCAGGGGTCTCTAAACTCAGTCCTGGAGGGCCGGTGTCCTGCAGAGTTTAGCATTAACTTGCCTCAACACACCTGCCTGGAAGTTTCTAGTATGCCTAGTAAGAGCTTGATTAGCTGATTCAGGTGTGTTTAATTAGGATTGGAGCTAAACTCTACAGGACACCAGCCCTCCAGGACTGAGTTTGGAGACCCTTGGAATATAGTGTTGAAATTGTTAGCTAAAACTAAAACTATTAAAAATATTTTTCTGTGATTGGAATAAAGATATAGAATATATTAGATAAATAAACTTTCAGTTTCAGTTAGTTGCCAAAGGATTTTTTTTAGGTTATTCATCTAGTTGTGGGTGTCTTTTGCACGTTGCTATGCGGTTGCTAGGGTGTTCTGGGAGGATACTTGGTGATTTCAGGTCAAAGGAGCCTCTCTTTGATCTTTTTTGGACTCTAGATGTGACTCTGGTCTCTTCTTCCATGTCAGCCTAAGAGAATTTTTGCCGTTGTTTTATCATCCACAAGATGAAAATCATAAACCCAACCAAACCATACAATTTGATTTCTATCATTCATGGATTGAACTGTGTGGGATGAGTTGCAAGGCAAAGTTGAACACTTCGGGTCATTAAATACAGCAGGGGTCTCCAAACTCAGTCCTGGAGGGCCGGTGTCCTGCAGAGTTTAGCATTAACTTGCCTCAACACACCTGCCTGGAAGTTTCTAGTATGCCTAGTAAGAGCTTGATTAGCTGATTCAGGTGTGTTTAATTAGGATTGGAGCTAAACTCTACAGGACACCAGCCCTCCAGGACTGAGTTTGGAGACCCTTGGAATATAGTGTTGAAATTGTTAGCTAAAACTAAAACTATTAAAAATATTTTTCTGTGATTGGAATAAAGATATAGAATATATTAGATAAATAAACTTTCAGTTTCAGTTAGTTGCCAAAGGATTTTTTTTAGGTTATTCATCTAATATTTATATTAATTTCCATTTAATTAGAAGTTTTAGCAATTTTGTTGTTTTGTCATTTTTATTAGTTTTTGTTTTAGTTTTTAGATTGTTATTTTAGTACTTCAACTTAAACTAAATGGAAAAAATAAATGTTACCTTGGGCAACCAGCTGAAATCAAATATATTTAAGTTGTATATATGTATGTGTGTATATATATATATATATATATATATATAAAAACACTATTTTTATGTTGTGCAAAAACAAAACATTTAATGAACAGAAAACGAGAAATAAACTTGTTTCCTTAGTAGTTATTCATCTAATATTTAGATTTTAATAGATTTAGATTTTTTAGATTTTAAGTTGATATTTTTCTATGCATATTTTATTGTTAAAATACTACACTGTAAAAAATGCTGGGTTGTTTCAACCCAACTTTGGGTCAAATATGGACTAACCCAACTTTTGGGTTAAACATTTAATGTAAAAATTTAACCCAATGGTTGGGTTAGTCCATATTTGACCCAAAGTTGGGTTGAAACAACCCAGCATTTTTTACAGTGTAAGATGACTAAAAAACTGAAATTAAAAAATAAAGTAGAAATATATAAATATAAAATAAAAATAAAAAAACATTTAAAAACTATATAAACATGACAAAAGCACATACAATTACTAAAACTAAAGTTCAAATGAAAACTGAAAATATAAAAATATGAAAAATCTAATTCAAAATATAAATAATAATACTAAAATAATTCTGACTTGGGGTTAGTGACTTGAATAAAAGTCCAAGTATAAGCAATAGTGTAATGCATGCATTTGCATCTTATTACACTAACAAGAGTTCAGTCGGTGCATTACTGAGTCGGTGTAAATCTAGTCAGTGCACAGGCAAGTTCAGAGTTCAAGAGGTCCTTTAGCTGGTAAGTGAGAGCTGCTTTTGTGCATTAAATGTAAATTGCATTAGCAGTTAAGAGTCAGGAAAACAAAACCAGTCGATGAGATCTAATTTCGAGTGCACATTGTAGCTAGGAAAAATCATAACATGCATTAGTGAAGTAAAACGCCATACGGCCCCCATTAAGAGTCATGACATTTTGTATCGAGACCAAAACACACACGCATGCTATGTTTCTCCAGCACACAACCCATTAAAAGCCCCCAGAGTGACACTGCGAGTGGAGAGGAAGTGGTCACGCTGCTTTAGCCAATCATCATTAAGTTAACAGGGAGTCGTTGTCATGCTCCACTAGACCTGATTGACAACACGTCACACGTAATGAGCTCAAAGCACAATGAGCAATTGATTGCCGCAGGGCTGCATAACCATGACGACAGTCAGATGTTTGAAAATGCCATAAAGCCTTATAATGAAATGTGGAGATTCCCTGCCGCTTGTACAATGATCAACTAGTTTATCAACAGTATTAAAAGTGCACTATAGTTAAATAAACATATTAAAGTAAGGACCCTATTAAAATGTCCTTCTATAAATGCATCAGGACAGACAGTAAAAACAGCATCTCACACCTGTAATGTTTCCATCATAACACCTTTCCTGACCACTGTCCTCCCATGTGGGTGTGTGTTTCTCAGAAAAAAATGTCTAAGTATGGAAAAATGTACAGTCAGAGGTTCATTATCTCAAAATAAACCTGAACAAGGTGATCAGGATCCAGACACGAAGCATTTATTTTGAGATAATGAGCACCTCATGGACATGAAATATTGATTTGAGATGAAATAATGTTATTATGTGAGAAGGAAGATATGAAACTAGCGCAGCTATGCAGGAGACTAGTTGCCTGTGTCAACGGCTATTGTATGGTTTACTGATTATAACACAAAAATATCTGACCACAAAGTGACCAATCAGAATTGAGTATTCTAATAATCTGTCAAATTTGATTTTTGATATTATTATATGGGTCAAACTGTGCGGGGGGAATTGAAAGGCAATGTTAAATACTTGTGTTGTTATCATTAAGTAAAACTATTACAAATCGTCTTATGTAACTGAAATAAAGCTGAAGCAAAATAAAATACAAACATAAAACATAAACAGACTAATAATTTAAAATAAAAAACTGGCTACTGTCAACTAACGTAATTAGGTTTAAGTTAAAGTGAAATAAAACTGAAATAAAAACAAATTAGATCTAAACAGAAATATATATTTTTAAATAAATTATATGCTTTAGTGATTTTACTTTACACAAATATCTGATTGTGTTTGACCAATCAGAATCAAGTATTCAATAGGCTACGTAATAATAGATGATGGATCCCTATATCCTTGCAAGAATCACTTTTAGATTAATCTTCAATATCTCTGTTGTTTCTTCTAATCAGCAATGAGATTAAATGGAGAACAAACTGAGACTTTTGCTCAAGCTTCTTGCTTTTCAGACTTTCACTTAAAATGACAACAAAAACTTGCCTTGACAACTATCTGAAATAAGCTTAAGTTTAAGCACTAAAATTACTGAAAAAACTGAAATAAACTGAAAAAATATATAAAATAAACTCATTGAAATAAAAATAAATATAAATAAAAAATAATAAAAAATACACATACAATTTAAAACATTTAAAAAATAAAATAAAATGAATACTGAAAATATAAAAAGCTGTGTTAGAGATTTGAATAATATCAAATCTCTATATAATGTGTGTGTGTGTGTGTGTGTGTGTGTGTGTGTGCGTGCGTGCGTGCGTGTGTGTGGTCAGGTGCATTTTACTCTGGTTGCCATGGCGCCGTGGAGTTGTGCTCATCTGAAATAATCTTTTCAGAAATCAAACACTCGCACATCACATCCTGAAAATCAACATGCACGAAAAAAATGACTGTACATCTAGCCTTGATGAATTTCAATAACTAAACAAAGGATCGTCATTAAATGTTTCATGAAAATGTACACGCAAGTTTCCTAATTTCTTACCAATAGTGAAGCTATATCCGTCGATGCTGAAAGTGGCACTTCTGCCTTTGGTGAAGCTCTTTTTCCTGGAGTCCGTTTCTGACATCTTTTTCTTTCTTTCCTGTTGTATTTTACGAGCTCTAGTTGAGTAAATCCCAAAGTTGTGCACGAGTCTTTTGTCTCTGGTTTGTCAGATCTCTCTATCCTGCCCTGCTCTCACGCTATACTCTCAGAGGGGAGACACTATTTTCTCTTTTTCTATCATTCTCGTCCTCTGTCGCTCTCACTGTCTCATTATTTTCTCCCCGGCTGAATGTGAGTCCCCTCTCAACACAGCACTTAGTGTACCAAT